CACGTCATTTTATTTTTCAGATTGGTTTCAAAACGGCTGACTGGCGGCCCATTTCGCTTTAATGATTGGGGTTCTAGAGCCATATCTCTTAAATGCTTTGACTGATTATATTCAAAGTTTATATATTCGTTATACATCATGTTATATATATTTACATGTATTCAAAATGGCTGATTTTGAATGCTGTTCCAGAGCAATATCTCTCAATATGGACAAGTACTTGTTTGACGACCAGATACAAATGTTAATCTTTTTAATGTTAAAAAATCTTATTCCTGACATGGTTCTATTCTAGCTATATTACTATAAACAAAACTATATATCTTAAATTTGATAACTAACGGGGACTGTGCCATGCATGGCTTGTTTTCTGTGCCTCGTAGTGCATTTTTTTCAACCTTCAATCCCTCAATATCATCTAGTTGGTCACCAGTTAAACTTAAAGATCGTGTTATCTTTTTTGGAGGTTCGCACTCCATTTCAATGTCACAACACGGAGGACAAGACATGTTTTAACAGCAATCAGTGTTCTGGCGTACATTTTGGTTTGTGTGGCGATCATCGATCACCCAATGACCGACGCTCACAACTTGGATCCCATTATTAACAAAAAGTAATATTATGGTTATATAATTTTTCCGATGTTTTTAATTTGGTAATTTTACCAATATTTTTCCAAAATTAACCACTATATTTCCCTAAAAATCAAATACTATCGGTTTTATGTATTTCTGTATTATACCTGAAGTCAATTCGTGTTCCAGGGCCACTTTTGTAGCGTAACTGCATTATCAACCAATATACCATTAATTGCACATGCAAATTTGTTTGGACCAATCAAATTGATGATTTAACATCAATATACTAGTGTGCATGTAATATAATTTAGATTACATGATGATGACAATTTGTTTTGCAATAATTAAATCAAAGATGACTGACTGGTGGCCATCGTTCATTTATGACCATATTACTACTGGGGATATATCTCTAAGGCTTAGGAACCATTTCCAATCGTATTTGGCAGATACATCATACATATGGGAATACATGTTCATGTCAGTTTGTTTCATAATCCGATCAAAGATGGTCCATTGGCGGCCATCTTGCTTTTTACTATATATTCAAGGCCTAGGAACCATTTCCGATCGTATTTGGCCTCTACATCACACATATTGGAATACATGTTCATGTCAGATTGTTCCATAATCAGATCAAAAATGGCCCACTGGCATACATCTTGTTTTTTTTTAAAATGTAGTATCTTGGACAGGATTTGTTATTTTTTAAAATTTGATACATGTAAAAACCTTATTCATGTTGATGTATACATATACATACATTGATTTTGTAGTGATTTTCCTAGAGGTTTTGTTCAAGCTTTCTTTTCAGCTATACGCTTTAAGAAATCTGTATCTTGTAGTTTGTCTCTGCACAGCATTATTGAATCATGCACTTTGTTACATATTTTTGAGTGTTTTGTCTATACTTAATCTAAAACATGTTATTTGGGTACTGTGCATTCTTGCATATGTCTGTTTAGCCATCTTCTATAATTTTTCTGATGTGCCCTGATCCATTTTCTTCATAGTTGGTACCAAATGCCAAAACATACTATGATGTTATATGCACTTGTTATTTGTTGTCTTGAATGTTGACCAATTTGTGATCATTTTTGTTTCCCCAAAACATTTTAATATGTCTTCCTAGGTAAATGTATGCCTGTGCCGATTTCATTCAAATTTGATGATGACGTCACTCATGATGGTTGACATTTGCACACCAGTTTGTTTCTAGCTGGCAGCCATGTTGCTTTCGTAGCCATTTTTTGGATGCACCTTTATTAAATTTGAACATTCAAAAATAATGCAAAGATAATGATATACATATTATGAACATTTTTTTTGATGACTACTGGCCTTTTTGTTCAAAAAACACCAGATAAACTTTGTTGTCCTTTATTTCCCAGGTGTCCCTGCATTTGAACTTTTGACATCACTCATTGTGGGCCACTGATGCTTATCATTGTTTTGTGGTTTAATTACCTTGCTCATAGAGGAAGGGACAGAAAAACTCTCAAAATGGCTGACTGGCTTCCAGTAATATCTGTGAATAAGACTGCAAGATTTTGCTAGTAACATCAGTAAAACATTCTGTTTAACCAAGCCTGGGGTTCTGAAAGATATTACACTTTCAGGTGCAGTCAGGGTCTGCTTAGCAAACTTTAAAAGTTGGTCACTGCATGCACAAACCACAATAATAAGCACCAACTATTCTTGTCACCTCCACTAAACTACAACATTTGATGAGCCCATGTTACACATAACAAATTGGACTGCTGTAGAATAATACCAGCTATATCTGGGAAAATTCCTATAGGATTTATACAGTATACAGTATCCCATATCATATATATTCTTTAATTGCATCCAATATGATTGTTTTGAGTCATTTGGGATATTTGTGTCCATTTCATAATATCTTCACTTCTTGAATTGCATGTCAGTTTTGTTAACAATAATTTCCGCCCAGACTATCAAATTGTCTGGTTTCAACACAAAACAATCCTGTTAGTGTTCATCTTTCTCTGTTTATGCATTGATTTATTAATCACTGAATTCTTTGCTTTTTATAGCTTGCTCTAAGCGCTGCTTCTCCTCTCTATAAAGGATATGTATCTGATATTGACTGCCGATGGAATATCATTGCTGCATCTGTTGACTGTAGAACAAGGCAAGAAAGGGGATTAGAGGTATACCCAATATGTTTAATACAAATATAGAGTGTTAAATTCATGTTTCTCTAGTTTATTAATTTACCAATGGTAATGAAGGAGTGGGGAGCCTTTAAGGTATTAGTTTTTTTATGAATGCCCACATTCTCACTTCACACATACATTATACATCTTAAGATACATATGCATGTTGATTTTTTTCATGATCCAATTCAAGACGTCAACTTTTTGGCTTCGCTATTGACTTTGTCGAGCGTGGCTTATCATATGAGTGATTGTCCATCGTCTGTCGCCCGTGTCAACTTTTTACATTTTCAACTTCTTCTTGAAAACTACAATTCTTATTGCTTTGATACTTGGTGTATATGTACCTTTGGCAGACCTCTTTCATAATACTCATAAGTATTTCTCCCATTATGGAACAATATTTTGGATGTTTATGATGAAACCTGATGGAATAACTGGACATATCAGGGCTTACATGGTCATTTCAGAGTTCAGAGATGCAGTCAGAAAACTGGGACATGCGTACATGACCTGCATGACTTTTTGATTGCTTTGATATTACATAAATAGGTACTACATGTGGACCTCTCTCAGATTTGTTCATTTCGTGATGATTACTTTAATTCTCTAATTTTAGTGAATATTTTTGTAATGTTTGGTAAAAAGTGATATTTGCGACTTCTTGTTAAAAACCGTAATTCTGATTGCTTTGATATTACATATATAGGTAATACATGTGAACCTCTCTCAGATTTGTTCATTTGATGATGATATCTTCAATTGTCTAATTTTAATGAATATTTTTGTCATTTTTGGTAAAAGTGATATTTTTGAATTCTTGTTGAAAACAACAAGTCTGATTGTTTTGATACAATGTACTATACATATTATTCATTTTCTAATGATATCTTTAGTTCTTTAATTGAAATGTGCATTGCTAACAGCGGAGCTATCTCAGCCGACAGGCTGCTTGTTTAATAATCTTTATAATATGCTGTTTTGTCGCTAGCATCCATACGTAAACACACTCTTCATATTTTCAGCCACTGACGACAGATCACTATAGAATTCCTAAATCACGATATGATTCAATAGACAGTTACATTTCTGAAGATGGAGAAAAGTATAATGATATTGAATTAGTTTTAGATCAAGATATTTGTCAGAAGCTCATCAACTCAGGTAATACATTCAAAGGAGTGAAACTTCAACCATGAGGTGTAGTTTTTCTATAAAGTCTATATTTATTTATTTATGAATATTATTATTACATTGTCCTAACTTTTACATCATTATTATCCATTAGTAATATCCATGATTTTCAGTTCATTTTTATTGTTGAATGTTATGTGTGTATTTGAATAAAAAGATTTCCAAACATTATTTGCACAAATCAGTCAAAATGTATAGTATTTTTATGGCAAAGTATGCTATTACTTTGCACAGTCCATTGCTTGTACTACATTTTGTATACCATATCAGTAAAACACTTGTCAGGCTATGGTCACAATGTGTATTGTTAAACCATGTTTATTCAATCAGGACACGATACCAGGTGCCACTTCCTATTAACATAAAATTAACATATGTGATGATGTAAATTTTCCCACAAATCACTGTTTTTTTTTCATAGACACTTGTGTATTGTCATTGTTTTGATCACTTTCTTCACATGTTTTCGTGTACTTCAAAACTATACATGTATAAGCCCAATTATTGAAGTGAATTTATTGTGTATAAAATAAAAACAGAAGAAGAAACAGAACATTTTGATTAGTGACAACAAATTGCTCAAACGTATGATAAAAGCAAAACTATGATGTCATTACATCAACTGAAAATCAAAATGAGGACAGTTTATACCTTTTAACAATTACATTTAAACTTCACACATACATCATACATTTATATATTCATTATACAGTATGTCATAGATATACAGATGTATTCAAAATAGCCGACTGGTGGCCATTTTGTTTTAATTATTGCTGTTCCAGAACAATATCTCTCAATATGGACAAGTAATTGTTTGATGATCAAATACAAGATGACTAAATGACATGCATGGCTTGTTTAATATGGTTCAAAATGGCCAACTGATGGACATTTATATTAACAAATGTTGTTCAATAGTAATATTTCTGTGATGGTTTGACTGATTGCAATCAAAGCATTATACATCCTTTGACATGCATTTGCAAACAGATTCAATTCAGTTATCTCTACGATTGAACAACATGTACTGTGTCATGCTATGACATGTTTGTTGATATTTCAGGTATTGATGTACTCTTGGCAAGACATATTGCACATCTATTTATCAGGGATCCTGTATCTTTATTTAGTGAAAAGATCGACTTGGATGATGAACGTGATACTGATCATTTTGAAGTAAGTTAACTATTTTACTCATCACATATTTGTTGCCTGATAATCTCATAAAATTCATGCTACTTGCTTTGTAGCACGTACAATCTTGTTCAACAATTTTTTTTTTGAAAATATGTAGATTATGTTGTCAAATTGAGATAAAACATAAATCTAAAAATAAAGACATTCAGGACTTCTAGATTTAAATTGTTGCTGCTGCTGGGTATATCAAAAATGATCTAAAATGGTGTTCATTTCAAGCCAACATCCAGAATGCTTTATTGAAGTTTAATTTTATTTTGATTTGGCATAATTTTTGTAATGTTAAAAGTACACCAAATTATATAGTATTATAATCTAACAGCAATTGATCATCACTCTTCCTGATTTACCATGATTTGCAATGAAGCACTCTATATACAAACCTATCACAATGTTCATAGAGTCTCACAAATACAGTGAGACAAATGTGTACAGGAAATATAAATTCTGTGACTCAACACAGGATAGATATGCATGGTTTATCAATATAATCATCAAGACCACAAGTAGGGGCAACAGAACAAGGCAGTATACACAGAAACACAGGTACAACAAGAGAACTGGTGAGAACTGCCTCAGCACAAAGATTGTTATGTAATACAAGGGAATGTAAAAGGAAATGTATTGTAGATTTACCGCTGTGTAATTTACAAAATATCTGCATTACCCTTCACTGTGAAGGACAATGTGGGAGTTGACCTAAATGACTGGTAGAAGCAATGCTGGTCAAATCTTGCAAAATAGTAGTTAGTTTAATAGAATTACCAGACACACAATCGAGACATTGTGGAATATCGAGATATGAATGATAAACTGCAAGTGATATTTCCAGAGATATAGTTGGAATTGAAGCAAAGGAGTGGCCTATTAACCCATGGAACATACTCGCGCATATCCGTACATATCACCCTTATTTTGTGTGGGGGAAAGCTGTCATGTACACAATCATAATAACTGGAAATGGTCTCAGAACGGAAAACTGTTTTATTAGTGTAAATAATTATGAACAATAAAAACTGAAATTTAGAAAAACTATGAACAATAAATAATGAAAATCTGTGATTTGCTGTACAGTTTCCCTAGAAAATTATTACAAGTCTCAGAAGTATTGGGGCAGCCAATTTGCAAACTTGCTAGCGAATTGGCTAACTGCTTAAAAAGCTGAATTGCTTGAGTGTCGCATATGACCTATTTACCACTTCCGGGTCACTGAGAATGTTCTAGAACCGTACTGTGTCTGGGTGGAATATTCTAGACTTTTTTAGAAACTGGTTGAATAGGTAATAGAACACTGTAGGAGGCAATGGAAGGCGATGGAACATTCTAGAAATTTGTAGTAAGTTCCAGACTCATTATGTATGCTGATGTATTGGTCTATTTATAGACAGTGGGGTATATATAGGGGAGTGTTCAGCACTGAGTTCAGATCGGAGATCTCGTTGAATTGTATTGTATTGGAGTTTAAGTATCTAGTTATTGGAGTAGTGGAGTTTTACCGCGTTATTGTACTTGATGTTTGCAGAGTATAATAATATCAGTACCAGTTGAAACCTCATCTGTTGGCTCCGTGTTCGTATGTCATCATCACCGCCAGGGAAGTCTTTCTGTTACTGTTGCCATTTTGGTATTTGAACCATCACACCTGTACTTTACCAATTACGGTAATATTACATTGCGTGTGACATTGAGTTACGGACATCGAGTTACAGAAATAACTACACCCATATTGTTGAAACCACGCCCAAATTATAAGTCTATGTTCAATCATGATTAACAATTAACAGAACTTCGAGTTACGGGCAACATATATTTTGTTTTTTGTTGCACGTCCACATTCAGCAAGCAAGCTCATTGCGTGGTCAAAAATGAAAGGCCGTATCTGGATGAACAATAACTAAAATCTACGTTGCTTACTGTTAATTAAAGTTTGAGTTACAAAATTTGAAAGTTAAACAAAACAAATAATATATGTTGCCCGTAACTTGAAGTTTGATTAACTGTTATTAAAGTTCGAGTTACTGAATGTGAACGTTCAACAAAAACCAAAATGTACGTTGCCCGTAACTTGATGTTCTCTTAACTGTTAATTGAACATCGAGTTACAATTTGGACGTGGTTTTACAAAAGTGGGCGTGGTTTCAAAAATATGGGGGTTGTCATTTATGTAGCTCAATATTTTCGTAACTCGCTGTTCGTAACTCGATGTCCGTAACTCGAACATTTCAGCATCTCTAACTGCTTGGGTCAACTGAGATTCGAAAGCCAACTGTTTAGACAAAACCAAAGCAGTTAGCTAAATCGCTAGTGAGTTTGAAAATTTGCTGTAACAGAGCCATAACATTTATAAAGGCACAGTGCTGAGATTCACTTCGAGTATACCTGAAATATACTCATCCAATTGCACACAAGTCGTCAAAAAGTACAGTTTAGTGACAGTTGGAATGATATCAAGATTTAACAATTCCATTAGAACATTGCAATGTTCTTTTAACACATGAAATGGATGTGCATAGGTCAAATTTTGTATAGTTTCAAGACGCATACAAGCACCCGTATATATTTTGACAATAAACCCTTCATTCGGGTTTATCACAGTCACTCTACTAGTAGAGTGACTGTGGGTTTATACTACAACACTTACATGTTACTGTCAGGAAGGTTTAATGTCTTGTTTGTATTTGCACAAGTCTGGAGTCACGGTGAATACTTCTAGCGAGTCACCCCTCAAAAAACGTCTTCAACTAGCCTAGGCCAATCACTAATGTGCGTGGTCATTGCACGACCAATGACATTGAACTTTGCTCCATAAAGCAGCAGTTTCCCACTTCAAATAATCAAAAATACCCTTGATACCTTGGAGAAGTATGTCCATTGTTTCACAAGAACGACTGTCTTCTCAATTTCTTAAGATAAACGTCCCAAGGTTGTTTTGTTTACTAGAAGGAAATGTCTTTTGGCAGCATTTTTTGTATTAATTTTCACGCAGCAAATACTGTTACTGAAGCATTGTTACATTCACACAAACTGCAAATCAAGTCATTTACTACATCCATAGTTGTTGACACTTTGCTGCCGCAATGATGGATGCATTGTGACGTATTTTGACCTCCGGAATCTGACCTTGCATTCTAGCTACATTAGTACCTCCCTTTCATACCAGTTCAATTTCCTTTCATTATTTCATCCAAATTCCATGACATTTAATATTTAAAACCAACCTTTATTTCACAGTACATGTAACTCTAGTTTTCACTTTTCTAAAAGTATTTTATTGATCAAAAGACTTTTCACTCACATCATGCAATCTCCCATAATGCTTCCGCAGACACAGCGGTGATCACCAACATAACTACAAATAACCTCGCTGTCAGGAACTGAGGAATAATTAGCGTACATGTATGTATATGAACACATTGTGGTAATTAGATTTTGAATTTGAATGTAAAATCAGTACCTCAATGATTAATAATAAAATAATTCATTCTTAACAATGTTATCAACCTGAAAATGTCATGTGACTCCATTGACATTGATAACTTTTACAGTTTTTCTGCTTAAAAACAGACAAATAAATAAACATATGTTGGCAAAAAAATTGTAATTACTTAATAAACAACATGAGTCCTCCCAAAAATAAACTCTTTTATCGTTATCTTGAGTGTCACTTTGTATGACACAGTAATTTACTGACACCCACCAAATACACTTTGAAGGACTTTTAACTTTTCAACAGGCAAAAATACTCATTTATCACTTTCAGATATGAAGTATAGTTGTAGTAAAAGACATACATTTATCTATTTTCAGATATAGTTTGATAAATTGGTCTGCCAACCCTTGTGTTGCTTTGCTTGTTACAAGGTTATTCTCAATGTGTATATTGCATGAAGACAACATTAAATAAACTATGATAACAATTACTGATGAGAGTCTAGTTAAATTAAGTCAAAATTTAGTCAAATATTGTTACTGTGAAAGACGACTTTGTTTCACAATTGGGTTCAATTTTTTATGAATATTTCTGTGATTTTACAATTCTTCATGACAAAATAGTGTCGGGTCCTGCATTATATACTGAATAGGTACTTCATTGACATAGGGAATTGGAAATTGTGTGTGGGGTTGCAATCTGTTTTTCTCATTTATTATGCAAAAATGTAATACATTAATGCTAGTAAAATAAACATAATCACTGAATGATTGCTTGTTTCAGAATATCCAGTCAACTAACTGGCAGACAATGCGATTCAAACCACCACCAGCTAATTCTCCAATAGGATGGCGGGTAGAATTTAGACCAACTGAGGTGAGAATTATATGTATTATTAGCATTCTTTGGATATCTGTATAAGCAACGGCACAATAAATATGTAATTGTTCAATACCAGTGAGCCTTTAACACTGGTTGGCAAATATTTCCATCTGGGTGTCAGTCTAGTGTGTCTCTGGCAATTGGACAGAGGACATATTTTTAGTGTGATAGCATTGTGTGTTATAGTGCACCAAGAATTAGAGTATTTTTGACATCCATGAACTCTCCTGAAGTAACCATTTAAAGATAAAACAGTTCAGTCCATGTTATTTACTCTGCATCTAACCTATGTTATAACTTGTAATGCAAGATTTGAAGGTAAAATACCCATTATTACAAGCCCTTCTAATGTGAAGATTATCTCATTTTGATCATTTTAGGTACAGATTACAGATTTTGAAAATGCTGCCTATGTGGTGTTCGTAGTACTTCTTACAAGAGTTATATTATCATTTGATTTGAATTTTTTAATTCCAATATCTAAGGTATGTATTTTTACATTAGTCAGTAGTAGTTTGTAGTTTTAATTAATGCTACTTATTTTGCAAAATACTACTTAACTTGCAAAATACTACTCACCTCACCAAATACTGCTTACCTTGTAAAATACTGCTTACCTTGCAAAATACTGCTTACCTCACCAAATCTACTTACCAT